TTTTCCTCCCTGCGCTGTGAATGTTTACATGTTATGTTCAATTAAACCATGACAACATGTAATGTTTGTGTATTATTATTTTCAGCAGACTGTGTTTTTCTATTGTTGTGACTTAGATGACGTTCAGAGCACATTTTATGACCAATTCATGCAAAATTCCGTGTTATCCCAAGGGGTTCACATACTTTTTCTTGCAACTGTAAATTCTTAAAGTCCCTAACTAGCTTAGTCAGTGGGTGTACTGGTTAGGATGATCAGTAACATAATCAGCCATACTGCTTTAGGGAAGTATTTTCTAGGATTATCTACTGCCCCTTAACAGTATTTCTTTTAGCTTCACTTATCCCTGTGCCTATAATGTCTTGAAAGCTTCTTTTCTGTGGAAAATGGTGTAATAAATTATTCTTGGTCTTATCAATATGTGATGATATTTCATTTTTTTCTTATTAGCATCTCAAAATAAGTACCAGATTGATCCCAACCAGGAGCTGCTAGCCATGGGTAAGAATTTTGCATAAATGCTTTGGTTGACTGGATAAGGTATACCTAAGCCAAGTAGGAATGAAGCCTGGAGTGTGTGTGTGTGTGTGAACCTGGGCACTCCAGTTGTCAGGTGCAGTTATTCTAATTAGCAGTAAGCAGAAAGAATCTTTGGAACAGGCTTCATTGGAGAAATTTCATTCTTACCTCACTTGCAGCTTTCATATTTTAGGTAAACAGAGTTGGAAGATACGTTGTGGACTAATCTATACTCAGTGTAGAAAATCCAGAGGAATTGGGGAGAGTAATCCTAATGGCTCTAAGAGTCCAGGAGAGAAGTGAGCAAGTCTTGCAATCTCACAGATTCTGTTCCTGCCTTTTTTCCTTGGTGCTCTCTAGGGTTTACCAACCTGCTGGGATCCTTTATCTCATCCTATCCAGTCACAGGCAGTTTTGGCCGGTAAGGAAAGCACTCTCTCTTTCTCTTTCTTTGGTAAATGCAAGATATTTACATAGGTAAATAAACACACATAAGGTAATTTGAAATAGTATTTGTATGCATCACTTGCCATGGATTCATTGCCCCTTAAAAAAGCTTTTTATAATATTTTTACTTCATCCTTATGGAGTAGGAATAGTAGTAGTAGTAGTAGAAGGTAGAAGGTAGTTTATGTCTATTTCATGATAACACGTGCAGAACTTTAGACAGATGGCATTTTACTATAAAGTTATTTTTCCTTATTATTCAGCTAGACATAGCTATTCAAGAACTCAGGTGAAGCTGGATATACTTTTTTATGTTCAAAAATGATCGTGAGTTAATTAATAAGGTTAGACAAAGGTGATGCTTGAGGCCGATTTGGGAGGCTTCCTAGAATAGAATAGAGCTGGAAGGGACCTTGGAGGTCTTCTAGTCCAGCCCCCTGCTCGAGCAGGAGAACCTATACCATCTCAGACAAGTGACTGTCTAGCCTCTTTTTAAAAATCTCCAGTGATGGAGCACCCACGATTTCTGGAGACAAGCTATTCCATTGGTTAATTGTCCTCACTGTCAGGAACTTTCTCCTTAATTCCAGGTTGCTTCTCTCTTTGATCAGTTTCCAACCATTGTTTCTCGTCCTGCCCTCTGGAGCTTTGGTGAATAACGTGACCCACTCTTCTTTCTGGTAGCCCCTCAAATACTGGAATACTGCTGTCATGTCTCTCCTATTTCTTCTTTTCTTTAGACTAGCCAAACCCAAGTCCTGCAGCCTGTTTTAGTCTCCAGGCCTTTGATCATCTTAGTTGCTCTTCTCTGAATTTTTTCCAAACTCTCAACATCTTTTTTGTGATATGGTGACCAAAATTGGCAGCAGTATTCCAGGTGTGGTCTTACTAGGGTTTTATAAAGCGGTACTAATACCTTGCATGATCTTGATTCTATGCCTCTGTTTATATATAACCCAGGATTGTATTCCTCGATTTTTTTTTTAACTAGGAACAAGAGGAAGGATGGTTTGCCACAGGAAAAGTTTCTTGTCTTGGGGCTGAACTTTGGACTGAAAACATTTTCTCATAACTGCTCACAGTCTGGCGCTTAGGTCTTACTCTCTTTGGCTGATTACTGACACTGAGGGGGTTTTTTCTTCTTAACTGAAGACCACATCCTTGTAGAATATGAAGGAGAAATATATAGGTGAAGCAGTGGAGAAATATTGTCGACACAGCAAAATAAGACAACCTTTTTATTAGAACCTCTTCATTTTTAATTGTTTTAACGTTGATTTTCTTCCAGCCTCTTCCATTTGATCTGATCCTAAATCATAATTAGCAAATTCATAATTGAAGAATGTAAGGAGAAATCTAGGGGAAGCACAGCCCGCCTTGTGGAAAGGGCAGTAGGTTGCAGGCATACGTGCGTTTGATACTTCTAGGCTTAAAATAATCCTTAATCCTTTTGCTTATAATGGCATTGCTCACATTCTAGGACAGCGGTGAATGCTCAGACTGGTGTATGTACTCCTGCTGGAGGACTAATCACAGGTAGGAGAAAAGAATAATGCCTTTGCTGAAGGAGAATAAATTGGAAGCAGAAGGTTATAAATTACAAATGTGTGAACACAAATATCCTATGTGTAGCTCTCCTTTTTTCATTAAACCTGCCCAAAGAGCCCCTGCAGAGAAGTAAATAATACAACTAAAGAGCATGAAATACGATGTGCAAACATAGATTCTTGATACACAGCAGGCAAACATCTAAAAGGTTAATAAGTTCATTATGGCAATTTTTTCCTGGATCATAGTCTGCTTCATTAGATGCATGGGGGAAAGAGCGCACGCACACACATGCACACACACACACACACACACACACACACACACACACAGAGAGAGAGAGAGAGAGAGAGAGAGAGAGTTGCAAGTGAGGGAATAATAATATGACAAGAAGAAATTGAAATACAAGTAATTACAGTGATAATTACTCAATTATGCTGGACATTCCTAACATGTTCACACTGTTGCTGGGACTTGGTAGATATAGTCTTTCATTGGTGAGCCGATAAAACATATTTTTCAGTTTATGAAACATAATGTGGAATCTCCTAATAGGTTACAACCATTGGGGATTCACTGATTAAATTTATATGCCACCAAATATTTTAAAATTCCCAGCAGTTTTCAAAAATAGAAAGCACACGGTAAGAACTCAGCCACCTGTGGTAAGCCCCAAAGTAACCCAAGTCACCCAGCCAAAGCAGAAACAGCAGTCGAACTAAAATAAATAAACCAAGATTGTTAATGTGGGAGTGATGGTCCCTCTGGAATAGTATGGTTTTTCACCAGTTTCTTGTTGGCTGTTCCAAGTTCACTTCTGACTTTTAGTTGTTTTTATCATTACACTTCATGGAAAACCTCTGGCATAATAATGTGCCCAGCCCCACTCTGCCACCCAACATAGTTGCAGCTTATTGTAAACTTGCATTTTGACTCCATAATATGGGGGTCTCCTTTCTTTTGTAGGGGCCTTAGTACTCTTATCCCTGGCCTACCTTACGTCCCTCTTCTACTACATTCCCAAGGCAGCACTGGCAGCGGTCATCATCTGTGCTGTGGCTCCAATGTTTGATGCCAGGATCTTCCGCACATTATGGCAGGTTAAAAGTATGAGCATGGATATCTTGTCCTTCCCAAAGATGGTCGGTTAGAAAACATTTACTACTTCCCTAAAGACACTGAAGATGTTTGGAATTCACGCCTGAAGGAATGTGTGTGTGGGAGAAGCAGAATGGAAGTTCCTTCTTCTCTGTAGCTCTTCTTAATGCTGACTTGATACTGACTTTCTGAAATTGGATTAATCTGCTATTTCTTTATTAAGAAAGAAGGAGTTGACTTAAGACTTGGCAAAGTTGAGATGTTTTTCATTGTTGTACAGACTTTTAAACATTTAGGATGCAGGCTGAGGCTATTAGAACCGCATCTTGGAAGCCCTTTGAGTCCAGCCTTTTTTAAGACCACATATATTGAATGGGGGTGAAGGATCTGATGGGTCATAAGACCTTGCAGCTTTGTGTTATAACCAGCGACTTACAGTATTTAAGTTAGATCTAGAACTGGTTTAAGTTCTAAACTTCTTCTTTATCCTGGTGCAAGAGACAGCACACTGTTTTGTTTTTGTAAAAACAGGAAAGCATAATATTCTTAACCTGCCCCCAGACCATTACAAAGACAGTGTCAGACCATTTTTCAGTCACTTTATATCAATGTTAATTTCCTACCTCTGCCAGCAGAAGTGCGGCTGTGCAGTCTCTCTGCTAAGCTATATTTCCTTGTCTAATGTCAAGCTTAGAGAAGGTAGAGGGGGAAATGGTATGCTATGTACATGTTGTCTTTTGAGGGTTAGTTCTAATCACTTTCTTGCACAACGTATGTCTACACTCTTAAACCGTTTGTACATAACAATAGAGCTAGTTTTCTTTGGAACTGCCTGCTTGTTTTGTCCCCTTTTGCTGATGGGGTGGATATGTTCTTGATTGAATTCTCTGTTCTTTTTTCACAGGGCTAGACCTGGTGCCTCTATGTGTTACGTTCTTTGTTTGTTTCTGGGAAGTGCAATATGGCATCATAGCAGGGGTGATAGTTTCTGGAATTCTTCTGCTCTACCCCCTTGCCAGACCTCGAATAGAGGTTGGTTGGTTTTTAATTCACTGAGTCAGGTGCAGGCAGGGTTTGGAGAAGACTATTTCCTTAGGCCAGAAAGCAATACATGGCAGCTGTACATAGCTTATCATAGAATAAGTTCTCTTTTGCTTGTATCTGCTCTGACTAATTGGGCTCTACTTAGGGGGAAACAGGTAAGGATAGACTTAGGCATTGTTGTATCAGGATGTCAGCATGTATATATAACATAGGAATATAGAGACATTTGTATCTCTTTATTCCTGTCCAATTTTCAATTCTACTGAGACTTCATATAAATAAAAGATATTACATAAACAAGAAATGGTTTCATAGGTACATCAGGAAGCATTGTGATGGCTCAAAAGTACTCACTTCACCTTGTGTTCCTTCCCACAAAACTTTCTACCTTTTTCTCCAGGTTGTAAGGGACAATGCAATAATCATAAAGCCTGAGAATGGCCTTCAATTCCCTGCAATTGACTTCTTCCGGGATATCGTACACAAGCAAGCTCTATCAGGTAAACTGTATATGCAGACTTCCTGAAATGAGACTTCAGTACATCTCATCTAAGAAAATTAATATTCCTCCTCTTGGGTGCCTCTGGAAGAATAACTGCTCCAGGTGATTAGCTTCAACGCCATTCAACAGAAAATAAGTAGGGTTTCAAGAATGTTTCAGTATTTCGGTGTACCTTTTGAGGAACTGTCCAAAATGCATAGATATTGGGACCAAATGAGAAGAGTTTCCAGCTAATAGTTCTTGAGCTGAACTGATGGGACTTCAGAATAGATTTTTAAACAAACATATGAAGTAGGATAAAGATTTTAATTTAACAAAGTGAACCATGTCCTTGATCGGTAAGAAAAGCATGCAACCTGGCCAGATTCTCTTGCAAATACCCTGAATAGCTTGCTAACTCTTTGACTGATCTCTTCCTTGTTTTCTGACTTCTTTTCTTTGAATGAAAGGGGTGGTTTGTTTGGGGTGGGTGATGCTGGGCAATGTGAGAAGGCTCATCTGCCCCACATTAACCTAGAGATGGAAGAGGCCTGAGGAAGAAAGTTACAGCAGTTTATTCCTGTCTCTTTCAGTGGTCTTCCTAAATCTTCCAAGTGCTAGAAAAAGTAGGATATGAGGCCTGCAAGGAAAGCTGTGAGGGAATGTTCTCTTTCCCATCTTGGCCTTCTATGAAATAGTCTTGTCTTCTCCCCAAACTGCACTCTCAAATGTCTTGCACCTCCCACAGGTTGTAGCCAGTCAGCTCAACCAAGTATGCTGCAGTTAAGGACGATTACAGTTCCAAAATGCCAGGAAAGGAGGGCAAAGTCATAATATATGTGATGGCAACCTGATCCAGGAACTGCTGTAGCTTCCCCGACTATCAACCTGAATACCAAAGGAGAAAACTCAGAATGATTTTGAGTTTTCTCCTCCCTCCTTTTCTATTTAGGAAGGGAACAGCACACTCTTCCTTTTGCAATTTTGTTTTATTATTTTTCCGGAAATGCACCAAATTCTGATGATGATAGATCAGGATCTCATGGTGAAGATTATCTTGGTTTGTAAAATGTGTGCAGTGTCGTGTTTGTGTATGCAGGTTATTGTGCTTACCTCTTGGGAATTCAGCAGCTAATTGTTTTTGTCCCTTGGCACCTGTTTCACTCAAGGTTCTTATCAAAAATAAAACACAACCCACAAGCACAAAGACTGATATTTCTATAATAGTGTACAGCGTCCTTGGTCTTTTCTTCTCTCCATTTTTTTCTTGAAACCGTAATGTGAGTAGATTAGGCTAGGTGGGATGTGTAGTCTGTTCTGTATCAGTTGTGGCTGTGGAAGGAGTTGAATTTGTGTGTCTATAGAGATTCAGATTGTAAATTTCCACAACTTCATGCTGACAAAGAATTGAATTTCAACTTTCTGGATTGTTAATCAGCATGAATTGGTAATATGAATCCTGAGAGTTGGAATCTAACACACTGTGAAGGCAAAGTTGAGCCTGTGTGATTTTATAATATAGTCCATATTGGTGATTTTACATTTCTGTACATGTATTGATATTAATTCAATACCTTATTTTATCTGAGCATATGAATGCATTTTTTCTTTTTATTTCCAGTCTTAATTGTCAGAACTTCCTTCTACTCAGATCAAACTTACTATTGGGAAACACTCTGCTAAATAAAGTTAATTTTATATTAAATAATAAAAGCAGGATGATTTGCATTTTTAAAAAGTTATTTAATTTACATTAAAAATTATATAATTTGGGGGAGATGGATGCAAAACTTCCAAAAGTTGTGAACCTAAAAGATTTATAAAATGTTCTTCCATTGTTATTGTTTTCCAAATCTGGACCAAAATATTGATCTGTTAATGCAGCTACCTAGGAATTGGACTGCATAAGGCAGTGATGGCGAACCTTTTAGAGACCGAGTGCCCCAAACCCGCCTCTGCCTGCCCTGCCCTCGCCCTCTGTCCCTGCCCCCGCCTGCCCGCAGGGCCACCCACTGCCTCCACGGCCCGCCACAGCGCCATGGTGGCCACGCCTTCCACCCCGCATCATCTGCATGCGACAGGGAGTGAGGGCGGAGACTTGTCTCACCTGCCTGGCTGCCATGACTTTGACTGCGCTGCTCTGCGTGGACCGCGCCTGGGGTAACTCTCCTCTGGGGGGCTGCTGGTGAGGAGGGGACCGTGGGTGGAGGCGGGGCTGGGGGGACAGCAGGTGTGCCCACAGAGAGGGTTCTGAGTGCCACCTTGGCACACGTGCCATAGGTTCGCCACCATTGCATAAGACCTTGTGCTCTTCATTCTTTCAGCACACATAATATTGTCTTTTTTCAGAACCTCAGCAACGCAAAGTCATCCTGGACTGTAGCCACATCAGCAGGATTGACTATACTGTGGTACTGGGTCTGTCTGAACTTCTGCAGGAATTCCAGCACCGGGAACTTCATTTGATCTTCATTGGCTTGCAGGTGGAAGTTTGACTGGGAGTGTGTGTGTGTGTGGGGGGGGGGGGAAACGGGGCAAATGTAAGTTGTGGCTGAGTAATTTATCTTTAAAAAGTCTCAGAGGCCTAACAATTCAGTGACAAAGTACAGTATATACTTTTCATGTAGAAGATTTTAACCCTTGAGGATGAGGAGCATGAATGTGGGTAGTCCTCGATTTACAACCACAATTAATTTCAAAATTTCTGTTGCTAAATGAGATATTTGTTAAGTGAGTTTTGCCCCATTTTACAACCTTTCTTGCCACACTTAAATGAATCATTGCAATTATTAAGTTATTAACATGGTTGTTAGGTGAATCTGGCTTCCCCCTTGACTTTGCTTATAAGAAGGTCATAAAAAGTGATCGCATGACCCAGGACACTGCAACTGTCATAAATATGAGTCAGTTGCCAAGCATCCAGATTTTGATCATGTGACCCTGGGGATGCTGCAATGGTCATAAGGGTGAAAAATGGTCATACGTCACTTTTTCAGTGTCATTGTAACTTCAAACAGTCACCAAATGAATTGTTGTAAGTCAAGGACTACCTGCATAACAAACTAAGCTCTTGAAGAAATGCTCTCAATTTTAGCATCCCCTCTAGCCTTTACCAGGTGCTGGCTAGGAATATTGACATGCTCAGCCCTATTGTGTCTGCACCGCAGGATGGTGAGAATAGTTGTAGTGTTGTTTCCTACATAGCTTGATGTAGAATAGCCACATATGTTCATAAATTAAACATACCAACAGTGCATAATTTCTGAAACACAACATTTTCAAAGTCTCTCTGGAATATAATCTGCACATTCAAGCTATATGGGCTGCTTTATACTGTGTCAGCCCACCGAGTTATCTAGCACTGTATTCTTTCCTTTGACCAAGAAATTTGTCTAATCCTACCTTTTAGCCAGAGAAACAAAAGGTGCAACTTGAAAATTTACAAGGGATCTGTTCTGCCCTTGAACCCACCCACCCTCCCTCCCTCTCCTATAAGCTTTTGTGAAAAAAATAACCTGATTAATTCTCCCATTTTCCTTCATGCCCACAGGCTCACGTGCTTGAAGTCTTGCTGGCTGCTGACTTGAATGGCTTTTGTAATTTTTCCACCCTAAAGGATGCAAGTAGGCAAAGTTCACTGATTCTTAAATAGATATTGAGTATTCAGGGTTGTGGTTCTTCGCCATATAATCTGAAGTTTTCATCTTTAGAAAAAAAATATTTCCCAAACTGTAGTCTATCAGTTGAAAAGTTAGTATAAGTAGTCCTTGCTTAACAAGTATAATTGGGACAGTAACTCTGTTATTAAACATCATAGTTGAGCAATACATCCTGTGATCGTAACTTACAATTTTATTGCAGCTTCTCCATTGACTCAGCTTGTTGGAAGCTGACAAGGAAGTGTGCAAATAGGATTTGTGATGACTAGGATTGGATGAAAGTGTAAAGACCCACTTCAACCCCACATCTTAAGAAAGCAGAACTCTTGGAAACAATTTCTTCCAATAGGAACTTTTATTAAGAGTAATTGATAGCAGGCATAATAGACAGGATCTGAGATTTCCCCCGCAGAGTGATAGATTAAGGTATCCCCAACCTAGACCCCACCCCATAGTCCGCCCGTCCGGTATGGGACGGCCAATCCCCAGGTGTTAAGTCCATCGTGGGAAAAGGGGAGATATCATCTGCCCGTCTCCAGTTCACGCAGCAATGGTCTGCGGCTTCTTCACACCTTCTTCTCAGAGCGTAGAAATAAACCAGACACTAGGTTACATTACTTATTTCCTCCCTTGTTCTAACTGACAGTTTAGGAAGATAAAGTTCAGAGAAAGACATAGCGCAAGAAGCAAATTGTTACATTGTAGCGGCAGCGGACACAGGCAATAAATGAAGCAAAAGGTTACATTGTAGCGAATAGAGGAAGCAGAAGCAATAACCCCGCAGGCACATCCCCCCTCCCCCTTGAGAATATGGCAGAACCCAGGGAAAGTGAGATTTGTTTTTAAGTCAGAGGGGATAGATAGAAATGAAATAGGAATGGGTTCTGACAGAAAGTTGACCAATGCTGGTCTTTCTCCAGCATTGTCCTCACTTTGGGTAGTTGTTAAAAGAAGACTATCTATACACTCTTGGAAGAAAGTGCGTATTGTGAGGTGTAGTCTAACCCTCAGCCTGAACAGTGAAACAGAACAAAAATAAAGATGAGGGGAACAGGATGGGGAAAAAATGCAGCCAGAAGTTGTGAATTATAAGCAGACTCTTGGCTGGGGCCAGTCTAGTCTTACTGGTTTCTTGCTGGGCAGGGGTGATGCAGCTACCAAGAGCTTCTTAAATGACTGCTATGGCAGAGTCCAGCATTATTTTTTCCTTGCTTCTGCTGTTCTTAACGCAAAGGAAGATCAGAACAGAAGTATTTTCTTACAGTGAGCTAGGCTCTGTACAACACTTCGATTTTTTTTCTTGCTATTTTCGTGCTATTTTCCTTGAGATTAAAGGGGGAAACCTCCTGATCATTTTCTCCCCATGCAAAAATCTTCTGTTTCTCCATCTATTGCTGGGGAAAGATGAATGTGATGGTCCCAGCAGGAAATGTACCATATTTTGCGGCGTATAAGACGACTGGGCGTATAAGACGACCCCCAACTTTTCCAGTTAAAATATAGAGTTTGAGCGAGGGGGGGGAGAGAAAACTTGATGAGTAATATGCCAAACCACATGTGTAAAGGAATAAAATAGAATAAAATAGAATATTTTCCGGCATATAAGACGACTGGGCGTATAAGACGACCCCCGACTTTTGAGAAGATTTTCAGGGTTTAGAAAGTCGTCTTATACGCCGGAAAATACGGTAGCTTTTTGAGGAATATCTTACTTGCCCTTAAGACCATTCAAATCCAAAAGCAACAAGAAACTTGGTTCAGTCCAATGTCAGATATTATCAGTTGACCTTAATGGTTTTTAATTCATCTGATTTTAATTTTTGTGCAAGTAGCTTGGACATAATAGATCCCTTATAAAGAAAGTACAAATGAATTCTATTTCTATGCATTATTTGTGTGTTCTCCTGGCTTTTAACCCTTAGATTATTTGTCTAAAACAAGCAAGATTTGAGTTATGGAAACCATAGTGTATCAGATTCATAGCATAATGTATATTTTCTGTTGTAGAAAGAAGTCTTGGAGACTTGCACGTTGCCTTTGAAGACATGATGGATGACATACATACTACAGCTGGGATGATCCAGTGAAGGAATTGAGCTCATTAATCACTATGTCAGTCCAGTAGGAGAACCTCAAACTGGAGGATGAAGTTTTGGGTCCATAGAATGGCATAGTAGAGTCTTAGCAGAGTCTGCACTCTATGATTGACGGGCATTAATACATATCTCAGTCAGGATTCAGAAATCATGGGCATTTTGGAATTTTTTAAATAGAAAAAATGAAGAACTTCAGCTCAACAAATAAAGATAAAAACAAATAATTGAAAATAATTTCAGGAATCTAGGAAAAACTTGTGAAATCAGTGTGGGTTAAATACTTCTATGACTGTAGCTTATCACATTGGTGCCTCTAATATATTTCTGAAATTAATGGTATTATTAATGGAACACTATTTTTCAGAACTGCACTCTGTATGGCAAATTGTTTCCAGCTATATACTGTAATCTCTAATATTCATTTCAGTAAAAATTGAAATGTTAGATGCCTTTCTTTTGTGGAGTTTCTATTAAGCCAGATTATTTGTCCTTGTATAGATCAAATTTATGTATCTGATGCATTTGAACCACTTTTCCACTTGCCATTCAATTTTTTGCATAGTCGCTGTCATCCACTTGCGGCATTCTGATGTGTCCTAGTTATTTATCTGGCTGCTCAGTTGTCAAGAACCTTCACACACCAGCAAGACATTGATTAAGTATCATTAAGTGTTGACTCTTGGTATCCATGTAGATAGGATTTGTCCAAGAAGATCTGTCTTCAACCTGGCATGTCTCCTAATGGTGCATTCATTGCTGTTACAATCAAGTCCATTCAGCTTGCTATTACTTGTCCTCTTCTCTTTCTTTCTGTTTTTCCCAGCATCTTGAACTTCTCAAGGGAACTGGTTCTTGGCATAAATCAGTCCAAAATACTATCATTTGGCTCTGGTCATTTATACTTTGAGTGAGAACCCTGGATTAATTTGTACTATGACCTATTTATCTGTTGTTGTTTTTTTGACTAGCCATCCATGGTATTCTTAGAAGTTTTTTTTAGCATCAAAGTTCAAAAGCATAAATGTTCTATTTTACTTCTTTAAAGTCCAACCTTCATAGCCATAGAGTGTCACATGGGTATTCAAGACTTGTAGAGTTCTGATATAGACATGACATGGCATCTAAACATTTTTTTTCCAAGGTTTTCACTGCTATCCTGTTGGTATGTGACTTATTTTTTGACTGCTGGTTTGTTAACTGTTGATAGTGTTAAAAAGCAGACAATATCCACCTTTTCAGCATTGTCAATTCTAAGGCTGGTTGTACCTGTTGTCATTAGCTTTTCTTTATATTTAATTGGTATCCCATTTTTTGTCATTGTGCTCCTTGATTTTCAATACTAGACCTTGCATATCATTTGCATTTTCTGTTATCAGGGTAGTGTCATCAGCATACCATAGATTATTGATGTTTGTTCCTCCAATTTTAAAGCCATCCTCTTCTAGCACTGCCCAGCTTACCCCTATATATAATTGCTATATAATCAAGATATAGGTTGAATAAAATTATTAGCATGATCAGTTTGCTGAACTGGAACAATGTTTCATCTGGACTAATTTGTTAAGGATTTTACATGAGGACAATGAGATTTTCTGAGATTCCCATTTTCCTAAGGACATTTCACAACTTGACACGCTTGACAAAATCAACGGCCTTTCTAGAGTCAATGAAGCATATACTGACCTATTTTTGGCTTTCTCAATTATCCAGTATGCATTGGAAATAATGTATTGTGTTGCTTGGCTTTTTCTAAAGCCAGTTTGAATATCTGGTATCTTCTTTCCAAGTAGAGCTCTTATTTGCATTGAATGATCCTAAGAATTATTTTAGTAGCAGGTAATATTAAGGATATTTTGCAATTGTTTGCACATTTGGTTTAAGTCTCCTTTCTTTGATAGTGATATGCAGAGTGACCTCTTCCTATCTATTGTCCACTATAGTATGTTGATTCATCTAATCTTTTTGTGCTGAGCAATTAACAGCCAAAGGTAGAAAAGATCATTGATCCCATAAGCAAAGAAGCTGAGGAAGGGAAGACTACAGTGATAAAACTATAGTCTGTGAAAAAAGATGATACAAGTTTATAGGAGAGACTATAGTTGCTTCCAGGTTGCACAAAAAATGGCTCAAAACGGTGTTGGGAGCCAGGATACCACATTGGAGCTTTCACACAAACTTCATTCCAACAAATTTAAATTTTTAATTACTGCAAAAAAAAAAATCAAGTGTTGTCTTATAATGTGGGATTGCAAAATCCCGGGGTCCTGCGCCTGCAGGATGAACTTATTCCTCTCCAGAGGAATGGACTGGTGATGTACGTTGAACACCATCAACGGACCTCGCTCAGATAGAGAAACACACGGACAACATGTTTCTTCAGGTGAGATGGCATGCGAGAGCCCCGAAAAGCCTCTGTGCCTCTCTTTTATTGGTCTATAAACGTCATTAGGGGATGTACAAAAAGAGGAGGGGGAAAGGGTCTTCATTACCATATATGGAGCGAGAAACAAGAAACCAGGAGACACTAAATCATTCTTTAGCTTATGTATCAGAAACTTAGGGTCTTCAAGGCAGGCTTTTCTAGGAAATGAGACTTAAGTCAGGAAACGAAACCTAAGGCAGGCTTTGCATGAGAAATGAAACTTAAGTCAAGAAACGAAACTTATCTTGTAGAGATGAAACCTATAGCAGTGGAAAAGTACTCAGGGATATATTCATAGGGTATTTTGCTGATAATTGCAACA